ATATATATATATTACTTGTTTCTAAAATATCAAAATTTCACATATATAAAGATATGATATTTTTCCAATTTTATTAATGAAACTCTGTGTGTGTAGATACCAGTATATTTCTCAACCTTACATTTTATAGGAAAAAGCTGTTAAGTTTTAGGATATAAGAAAATATAGATTGATAGACATTAAAACTATTTTATATAACATTAATTTACTGGCAATAAAAATATGATGAAAAAATAATTGTCAACCAAATTTGTAAGAGTTGAGTAAAGATGATTAAAAAGTTGTCCATGCGAATATTTACGGATAAAACCTGGTCAAAATAATAATGATATTGATGTGCAAATATATTAGTTTTTGCTATATAATATAATTATGAATTCAACCTCCATCAGTTTCGAAGACAAATTATATGATTCAATTAATCTAAAGTGTATTTTTTTTATGCGGTTTAACTAAATTAAAATAAGTGTAAATTAAAACATATTAACAGTGTAAAATATTTTTATACAATCATTTAATCATAAATTGTCTTTTTATGATAAAATTTTTAAGTTTTTTATTTAAAAAATAATATTGACAAGTTTTGTTATATTTGCTTCAAAAAAAATTATATTTAATATGATTATAGTTAAAGGTCATACATAAGCGTTTATGAAGAATAAACTCATTTAAAACTCCATTATTTCATAAACTAATTTTTTTAATTATTTTCATTAGATCCAATCTGCAAAGTTTCTTTTTCTTCCTCATCATCACAAATTTACAAAGTGGTATTTAGCTATATATTTAAAAAATTAAGACACGTGCACATACATATTAATCACAGGATAAATGATATCGTTTAACATAAATATTGATTATATTTTCATATCCTTGTTTCTTAAAAAAAATAAAATAAATAGTAAGACCCTTAGATTGCATCAACTCATGAAGCCAATGGTTTTGTGTAAGTGTGTGTCGGGCAATGTTTTTTTGAGTAACAGAAATGTACATGTTACAGTCTATTAGCAAGTACTACTAAGATACCCGATGCCACGCACTCATCTCATCTCCATGACAAATGGAAAGAACAACAAAGCCTCATTCATTAGTGTCAAAACTGTTCCTGCAAAGACATTGGTTACAAAAGATCATGCTCATCTTCCATCTCCAAAATGAAGATTGTGCTAAGACTTTTGCTTTTTAGATTTCCTTCCCGATGCTTGTTCTGATGATCCTATAATATATGTCTCCGCATTTATATTTTCTTCAGATTTACCCTTCCCAAACTTCTTAGCTTTTTTCTGCGGACGAGCCATTTTGAATCCAAGTGAGATGGTTTATTTAAGAGAAAACACCAAGTTTACAATTTTAACTGGACAAGCCAAAAAAGAAAGTCCTAATAAAATTCCGGTAGAAACTTATTACCTTTAAAGAATTTGCCATGTCAGCAACATTATTGTTAGTGTCCTCAGATTTATCCACCAGGTTTGCAGGCTCCTAAAAAGAGTGAAGTTTTACAACACACCATGAAGAAAACTATAAAATAATATGCACGTCATAAATTATTAATAGTTGAGAAAATTGCAAAAGAAAGATTGATATAAACCTTGGGTGGGATAAAGGCCTCTTCTCTTTTTCTTTTGTTTTCAGCAGTTTTTTCGGCCTGCTTCTCCTGCTTCTCTTGCCATATCTTCGCCGATTTCCTTTTGTTACTCAAAAAGTATTCTCCAGTTTCTAATTGTATGTCAATCTGAAATGTCATAAATCACCAAAGACACCTTAAAATTTGTTTGATAAATTAACAACCAAAATATCAGAACACGGTGTTTCAAAAACTTGGGGATATACACAAACTCCTGCCCATATAAGTAAACAGTTCCACTTATCCCAGGAAAGAAATACTCTTTTTAAGCTTAAGAGAATGTCCCAGCTTGGGCTTAAGGTAATGAAGTAAGCCATTAGCTTTGCTCTGGTTCCGCATCTAAAATTAATAGCTCTACTAAGGAATCAAGCATCCAATACAAATCACGTCCGAGACGGGAGAAAGAGCATAGTAGTAAAGAAAGCGAACTCATTTCTTCGCAAATGGCACCATAACCGCTCTATATTATCTAAAACAATTCTTTTTGGCGGCCTTCTGCATGAAAGCGAAAGGAAATGACCGACCAAGAAATCATACATGCAAAAAGAGAAAGGGAATGGTTAGTGAGTCCGAACATGAGTGGGATCGAGGAAGATAGGGCGTCTAGCTTCGAGGTTATGTAGCTAGAGTTAGAGTTGCTACAAACTTGACTATTGAACTCTAGGCTTGGGCTTTCCATACTGGTCTCGGATTGCCTTGGCTTGAAGCTTCAAAAAGGGATATTCGAAAAAAAAGATAGGGCAGACTAAGACTAAGGTTGTTTTGCTTCCTTCACGTGAAAATGAAAACATGGACAAGCAAATCAAAAACGAAGAACGATGAGGCATTGCCTTCTCTTCTTCCATCTAGCCTCTCCCTCCTCAAGCTAGGGAGAAAAAAGTAAGGGAGAGCGGGCTAGACAGTGAGTAAGATAGCTAGGTCAGTAGGAGCAATCCATCGAGTGGGAGAAAGATAGTTACACCAATCCCGTGAGAAATCCTCTTTGAAGTTGAAGTGGGTAAGCAGGCCTTTCTTTTATTCAAGCTCTTGAAAATGTCAGGAAGTCAAATGGGAAATTGGATTGAGGAACTGAGCCTTTTCTACATCGAATCCTTTTAGAAGCATCTTCACTCTCTCTTCAAGTTGAGGTCGACTCTTAGAAACAAATCCAACAACTATGGAGCAAGGATATGAGGAAAGAAGGTTACCCTTGAGGGTTTTGTTGTTCTTCCTTTCTTTTCTTAATTTTAACTTATGAGAAACTATATTGAGGTATATTAAGTCAAAAGACGATCTTGAATCTCTCAAATTTTAATGATAATAAACAAAAGATTTTCTTTTTAAGCAAAGTCAAATATCTATAAAGATATACTATGTCAGAAAAAATGTGAAAAATATATATTATTTGTAAGATGAAGAAAATCAAATGAAACATACAGTCCATCCCTATGCATTAAATGTATACTTCCAAATGAAATTAACATTAAGTTTCATTAAATATTTTATTCCTTAACAAATCAAACAAGAAAGAAGCTTTAGAACTCTCAAAATCTGTTATAAGAGAAAAAGAAAAAATATTTGTCAAAAACAAAAAACAAAATCCTAAATATCACAAAAAAGGCTCTACAAAAGACTGTTCTACACTAACTTCAACTACTTTGTGCTGACATAGCTTTTGCCATGCTCAACTTAAAAGGAAATGATGATAAGTAGTCTATTAGGTCATATAAGAGATACACATTTTGTTGAAAGACATTGAATGCTCGCATTAAATGCATCATGGTTAATCTTTAGGATCAACAAAGAAGCCAGACGAAGCAGCTCGTGAAGCAAATTGTAAGTTCGACTCAAAGTTGTTGTAATGACCATCATCTTTGTAGCTACAATAAAAGAATCAAGCTTTCAGAAAACTAAAAAAAAAAAAAAAGGG